GCTGGGAGTAGCACATCTCTAAGATGACAGTGGTTCCGCTTTTGCTGCCCCCTGGCTTACCTGATCATTTGTTTGTGAATTTCAGATTTTTTTGTTGTATTTGTAATGTTTTATATTGTTAATTGTTTTGCCTGAATGAATAAAATAAAAAAAATAAATATACATGTGTATATATACATGTGTGTATATATATGTATATACATGTGTATGTATGTATATATGTATGTACAGTATATATATATATATGTGTGTGTGTGTTCTGTGTAGTAGCAGACAGCAAATACATCTTAACAATACCACAATAATTTTCAAACTCAATACCATATAGGCAAGGCCTAATGAATTTTATTATCAAAACTCGGTATAAAACAGACATGTTTCGGCAAATCCTTGGCCATCTTCAGTGAAACGATTGCTAACATGCAATCTACTATATAAAGGGAGTCAACAACTCTGAAGCATTGTATTTTAAATAAATGGGAATTGAACCATAGCTATTTGAACAGACATCATGACATTGCATTTTTAAGGAATCGATTTGACTGTAATTGTAAAGAAGAAAGAATGGCATGAATAAAGATGATAACGTAGTGAAGAACATCAGAATGAAGTTAAATTAACATATAAAAGTTGCTTGTTGAGAGAGGCAGCCAAAGAGTTGCACGCTTAATGGTGATCATCAGACAAATGGGTGTTTATTATGTTTTCTCATTAACTGTTTGTTTGTTTCATTCTTACAGTGACGATTTTATTGAAATTGACAAAAGTGCTTGCATACAGCTGCCAACTGCCGCACAGATCCAGTATACTCACCCATACCATGGCGGGTTTGAAAACAGCCATACTAACCCAATCAACCAATCACGCTCATTCCGAATCCTTCAACAACTCACCGAGGATGGACACCAGTTTTAGTAGTCCTAATGCTGTACGCATGTACGTAACTAAGCGATACTCACATGCGCAAAATGTATGCGTAGTAAATGCCTGTGCACACAATTATGGTATCTTTTTGCGTGATTTCATTTCTATATTATTCTTGCACGCAATCCTACTGTAAACACCGAAATCACATTTGCCTTCAACACCTACTGCAACAATATATGCAATTCCGTTTGGGAAGGAATTTTTAGTGAGGCAATTTAGTTGGATAGTAAACGATGTATTGTGGACTTATTCTAATATTAGATTAGATGCATGAAGTGAACTTTGAGTTTATAATAATATATTTTGTATAAACCGAGAATTCAAGCCTGTAGGTAATAACGAGATATATACAAAGAATACATAATAATACTCATTATTTTCGTCTCATATTACCAATCGATAAAAAGAATTAAAATATTTAATATTATATTGCGCCATATTTAAAACAAAAATAGATCATAGGCATATAACTATGCACATTTAAAAATTCAAAATGTTTTCAATTAAGAAAACATTGAATAAATAGTAATAGTTCGCCAACATTTGCTATTCAATATTAATCTGCGATAAATGTTGTAGGCCTACATTAAAAAGAATTAAACAAAAGGTACTTCACAGATGAAAAAAAAAACACATATCAAAAAAGAAAATTAACAAATGTTTCTTATAAAGTTCAAGATTAAAATGTAAGATTTATGATGACTGCGTTTAAAACTATAATACGATTTGCATTCGCCGGCTGTTTAAGACAAACTTTCTTGCTGTGTCACGTGTCTACCAGCCGTTCGAAGACAGAAGTATCGATTTCATACAGTCATCACAAGTTAGTAATTGATCAAAATATCATTTATAATGCATCAATGAATATTTTAAAGAAATACAATAGAATGTCTAAAATTAGTTGATTATTATTGATGGGTTTTAGGTAGTACAAATACATACTGACGCAACATTTTGTGAGAACCACTTAATTTTATCTACATAACTGCCAAAACAAAAATTGCGAACCTAAAGATAACATGTGACGTCAGAGTCTAGATGAATCAAATGCTCAGGAAGGCGTATTAAGTTAGAATGTAAGGTGAGAACTGATGTGTATATTATACAAGATGTGTGAATACAAAATAAAAAAGGAAAGGATTATTTTACAAAACTTGATTGGTTTACGTTTGTCTCTATTTTTTTCATTCTTTTTATCCATTATATTTCACAATTTACTTTGTTTACAGTTTGTTGTTTATTATTACTAAGCAGGCATAATATACACAATATTATTACATGCATAGACCCAAACACCACGCACACACATACACAAGTCGTATGTCCTGTGATATTATTACATACATACACACACGGTGCCTACGTGCGTGCCATAGATCTATAATAAATGTGGCCCTTTCGTAAAGTTTGGTTTCCATACAATCGCTCACCCTATCAGCAACAGTTGCCGACAGTTGAACCTGGTTCAACTTTGTCGATGCTTTTGCAGACGAATCGGGGTGCCTTCCTGATTCGTCTGCAACGTAATCGGCAAAGTTGAACAGGTTCAGCCTTCCTGACAATTGTCGGCCACTGTCAACGATAGGGTTAGCCATTCAATGGAAACCGAGCTTCAACCAATTCAACCTGCTGTGCAAAAAAAATTTGCGTCGTAAACGCGACTGAGAAGAAAAGAAAAAGAAAAAAAAAAAGAAAAGAAAAGAAACTCAATCTAGGCCTATGTCGAGTATTTCTTCCATGGACAGAAGTAGGGCCTACTGTCATCTGATCACACAAACTAATTTTCGAGTCTGAATGAGTGAAGCGATTTTTTTACGACAGAAAAAAGTTGCTATGCTGCCTAAGTCTTTTTTATTTGAATGTTTAACTTTCAATACCACAGGGCGGACGCTGGCATCCAAAAGATCAGATACAGTTTTAGACGGTCCAGCTAGGACTAGCCAATTAAGGTGGGCCCAGGTCTCTAAATACTGTACTAGGGCCCTAGCAAAAACTGTCCTGTAGTGCTAGCTGGAGCAGACATAGGCTACGCCTTCCCACTACTACTACTACTCCTACTACTACTAGAATCCATTTATTAGGCCTACTATTGTATCAATCAGCCTGTGGTCGTGCGTAGTCGTAATCTTCTGAAGTTTTTCATTTTTTTTTTCTTTTAAACTTTGTTTTTTTCTGATGCAAGATATCATTATCACGAAAATAATATCGGTTTTCGCATATTCTAAAGCCGGTTACTCACTGCGTGCGACGGCGACAGCAACGCGACGAAGAACGCACGCGAAGACGTGGACCCAACGGATCGTCTTTTTAATAAGGATCCGTTCAGATTGCCACTAACAATCAGCAGATGGCGTTGCGTCGTCTATCGCTCGCCGGAAGCAAATGTGGATTCGTCGTGCGACGGTCGTACGACGCAGTGAGTGTCCGGCTTAAAAGTTCGTCAAAATCGAAAACCTCTTGCTTGAAAGATTACGTTCCTTTTTTACAAACACTCGATCGCGTTTACTACGACGCAAAATTGTAGCGCATGCGTAGAAAGTACATAAAGGGTTGGCACGGCGGGTTTACGATAGGGCCATGCGTCGGCGATAGCGTCCAGTGATTGTATGGAAACAAAGCTGCAGTTGTGATTGGTTGTGCATTTTTAGTTCCGATCTCTAGAAACACTCGTATTGATTAATAGATCTTTTTTGTATGGGCGGCCGTTAGGGCCAATATACTCTACTGCCTCTATTATACCGCCCTCATCAGAGCTTTCGAGATTACGAGAACTTGTAGAAAGAGTTCGGATTACCGATTCAGCTAAAGCAAAAACACTCCACCAATAGAAATGTAAATGGGCATACTGGGCTAGAATGCCAAGACAGTATCATTGCTTCTAGATTTGTAAAAGGAAAGCCAAAACATTGGTTTCCAGTGTGGTGGGAAGTGTGTCGCTTGGTTTAGGTGCGATTAAACATGTACAAACAAATAACGCTGTTGACAAAGCCGATATCTTGATGTACTGTATCGTGTTTGTGAATTTCTATAGCTTCTTTTGTCCGGCTGGAACGCCAAGATGGTACAGTGGCTATCAGTTCGGCTATATCCCAACATACACGATGTTGTTGCCTGAGGGTGTGCATGACTATAGATGACTTTGTTGTTCCCCTCTCCTACCCATGGCCTTGGTGTTCCTTGAGCCCTGTATGGAGATCATCCTGTTTCACCAATGTAAACCTTTCCACATTCACATGGAGTCCGAATAAACTCCTGGCTGGCTCTGTGCTGGTGGTTTATCCTTGTGTGTTTCCAAGATAGTCGGTTGGGTGCACTATACAACACTTTAATATCGGCTTGCTGTAGAATGTGTTGAATACGATGTGACAGCTGTCCCAAATATGGTAAATATACAGACTTTATGGATTTCGTATCATCTTGCCTATTGCTGCGTTTGAAAATTTTTAAGCAAACTCTCTTCTTGGTGGATGGATGGATGGTGAAACGAGCGTTTGTTTAAATACAGTATCTGTTGGTATGAGTTTGTTTTCTGCCTGGTCACCAAAACATCAAGAAAAGGTAAAGAGCGGTAAACATGATTGCTTTGTGCTGAGAATTCAGTCGATCTAGAAAACCATCTGGTACACCTTAATGTACTGCCAAATGATGAGTGTGTCATCGACGTATCGGAGTCAAAATTTTGGTTGTCGGGTGGCAGGATGAAGAGCTAGCTGTTCGAATTCTTCGAGGAAGATGTTGGCAATGACTGGGGATAAATGTCATCCCGTGGCGGTGCCTTCTAGTATTTGCTCGATAATTAAATATTTCAGGTTTGTAGTCACATACAATGTACAGTATATTGATCGCTGATTGTAAAACCACTGTAAAACTTCACTGCCAAAGCTCGATCCAATCCAAAAAAATAAAATGGTTCACATAAACCTAGTAAAAAAAAAACAAACAATTATGTCTATAATACAGACATTTGTACCATGTAGACTAAGATGCATTCTTCTTTGGATCTCTTTCTTTAGTTTTCTTATAATGGGGTATAATGCCAATGCTCTTAAATAATCCATCTCATTTCACCCCACATTATTATGAGGAGTAAATCATTGGTAACTCACCAGCAAAGTTATCACTGGAGCTTTATTGCAAGGACAAGCAATAATGAATTTAGTATTCGCTCAGGAAATACAATATAATTTACTTATTGTTGTTATTTGTTGTTAGTGTTTTCACGGCGTGCTAGAAAATAGGGCCGAGGATGCTTAAAAAAAACTTAATATCGACCTTCATCATCATCATAATCATTACAATCATTATCATTGTTGTTATCATTACTCATCGTAACAGTAATTGAGTAATCTTTGTGTGACAACATGATCATCATCCACTACCATCATGTATCACTAACATATCATTATCGCCATCTGAATACCAGATTTACTAATTATACGTTGGAATTCAATATTTTGACTCTTTATCTGGTTTAATTGTATTATTAATCCTATTAAGTTTATATGTTAGGGGTATGTTCACAGAATAAATTATATGTTGTTTCTATTCCCTTTTTTAATACTTTTTTTTTTGTTGTTGTTGTTGCTCAGACCTTTTTTTGTTATTTTAGATCATATTTACATTTATTCCAATAATCAGTATTTGGTCATAATGGCAAACTTAATGTTTCATAGTTTCTCGGCCACTCAAACGCCATTCCTTTTTCCAAGTAATTTGGCTATAACACCAGGGAGCACAGTCATATTACAATTTAGGCCTACATGACTGCTCACCAGTGCCACAAAGCAGTAAACGTTGTTACGTGACATTATCGAGAAGACCAATTTGGTAGCCTACGGTGGTGGACCTTTTCCACTATTTTAAAACTACATGTACACTCCTACTATAGGAGACTTCAGCTTTACCCAAGAATCATAATCAGAATCAGCTAACTCATAGAATGACCAAGAAAAAATGCTTAAACACGCAAACCTACAATTGAAAACACAGAGCAAATATAAACACATCATCTGGCGAGATACAGTATACAGGAAATTGCAGAATGTTATCAAGGAAATAAGTTAGTAGGAGACTAGTCAGCGGAACAACAGAAAAATGAAAATAATATAACACTATTATCATTAAAATATGAAACTTAAGGTCTGAAAAAAAATTGTATAACAACCACCGAAACAAAACATTTGGGCCTGCTCAACTGAAGTTTTTTTACCATCAATATTGATGAGAGGCGGCCACAATATTTACATTTATTTGATTTATAAGCCATGCTCACACCTAGGACTGAAACATAGGAGATCCACTTCACAACCCGTCATCAATGCAAGCTGGGGTAATAAACCATGGGCGGTCGAGAATGATCAGCGTGTGGTTATTCGAACCCTCGACAACGAGGTTCACAACCTGCATGGAAATCGCTGCGCCTTCTCCCTGTTCTGCAAATCAATACAATTTCCATGTCTCGTTTCGTTTGCAAATTTCAAATTGCTTCACTATATTTTACACGGTTCAAGCTCACCCCTGCTGACTTGATATACAGTATGCGTAACCAGGCAGCTACCGTTGTCACGAATGAATTTGATTATTGATCATATTGATAATATTATGTTTTAGAAAACATACACAAAAGTCATTTTAACAATACTGTAGTTATGTACAATCAATATCGATCGGCTGCAGAAATACCAAATTTAAAAGCCTTCTTATCCTCCGTCAACGCTTAATTCAAGTAATTGAAATCAGAAACAGACACGTATGTATTTAAGATGCGTTTTATCTTTGGATTTCTTTATATATTTTTACTTATGAAGAGGCATAATGCAACCGCTTGTAAGTGTCATTTGATTTTGTTCTCACCAGAAAATGTAGGCCTATAGTGCATTATGGAGAAGCTGGCCATTAAGCAAAACAGAGATAATAATTATAAGCACGTTAAAAAGATAATAACTGCTGACAATTTATAACAAAATAAAAATTGCACGTGTTAAATTTCTTCTTCCTGTCGAAAACTGGTAAAAAGTGCTTGTATATCTGATTAAAACTGCCATAGAAAAATGAATGAATGAAAGGGAAGGATAGATGGAAGAATGAAGAATGTAAATCAATTCTGGAGTGCCTTATAGTGAATACGTATACTCAGGTGTAACGCCTATAATTCTAGTTTTGGTGGGGAAAGCCAATCTCCTAAAGACTTCAAAGTAGGAATACAGCCAGTTCTAATAGAGCATAACAAAGTAAAGACCCATTAGAATTCAATGAAAATTCGAAACAGAGTAATATAAAAGGCTACGGCATTGTTGATATTCTACTTTGAAGGGGGCCCCTCTGCGGTCACTTTCGAGACTAGTTTTTTGTGACACTCCAGGGGCGGATCCAGAGATGTCCAAAAGGGAAGATGAGGGGCAAAGTTGGGCTGATCGAGACAACACTGTCATAGGGGGTCCTTTTTTTACCTCCCAAAAAGAGGGCCAGGGCCAGCCCCCACCCTCTAAATCTGCCCCTGCACTCGTCATCGATTACTATAAAATGCATGGCCCAGCACTCTTTCGCCCTCGATCCACGTAGTTCGTCGTTACCCAACTGACTGTGCCTACCGTCATTTGGCTGAATTGTTATAACATTGTATCTCAGCATATCTATCGTACAAGAAAGACGTCACTTCGAAGTCAATGTACGGTGACACTTACCCAGCAAAGGCAGCTACGGATGGAGACGATTATTCCGTGATGAGTTCATCTTGTTTTCACTCAGGTAAAACTAATTTCAATTAAATCACATGTTACTTTTGTTCATTTGAATTTCACTCGTCATCCGCCGCCATTGAAATTCCCATATACATAACTTTACTCTATAGGCCTATTATCCATTAATGCTGATCTCATTATTTTGTTCAATGTTCATTTCCTATCTTAATCGTCTCTTACATAATTTGCATTTATTAGAGTTTTCTTAACATTTTATTTGACAAATACATGATAAACATGTTCACAAATTGAAGACTAACTGTAGCAAAGTTACTCTATACCATGCAAACGGAATATATTATTATTTCAGCGTTGAGTGCTAATGAATGGCTTACCATTGATTTGGAGAAGGAGTACAACATCACCAGAGTCACGATTATAAATCGAGTTCAGCCAGGTATGTAGGTGTCAATCTCAGACACGGAATTGCTTTGCCATAAAATTTATTTGAAAACAAAAACAGGTAACGCCATACTTTCCAGAAGGACCCCACTGGCAATAAGTCTTCCTCAGACTATCGTGGGTTATCCTTGGTGAAAACAAATCCAATCCAAGTTATAATTCAACAGTAAAAAAAAAGACAAGGCAGTAGCAATGCCGTAGCCAGGACTTTCAAACAGTGCAGGACAATATCAGGGTGGACCCTCTTTAAGGGTAAATTCAAATAATGTGGACTCCTTTTATGCAAAAATATGACAAATCTGAATCCATTTTCTTAAAATGTTTCTCGTTTTAGGCTTTTTTTTTTTTTTTAAAGTGGACTCATTTTATTCATAAAATGGCATAATTTGGATTCATTTTTAAAAATGTGGAGCCATTCTTCGTAGACCCATTAGAAAAATTGTGTGGGACTGTCCCAATAGCTGGCTACGGCCTTGGGCAGAGGTTAAATAGACAGGAATCGGCCAATAGGATATAAGAGTAAAAAAAAATGTTCAGAGGGCGTTAGTAAAAACATTAAAAAAGTTCCTGTAGGTCAGCTTAAATGTGAAATAAATATAATTATGTTCCGAAATTTAACTTGCATAACGCAACATTATTTTAAATTATGTTTATAGTTTAGACGACAGATATTTAAGCTTTATAGGCTGGTGGCCAGTTTCACAAGGGTGTCACCAGCGTGGGACCCCCATCGGGGAGAGCTCTCTTTCCCCCGTCAGGAGAAAAAAACCCACAAATCTTCGGGGAGAAATAAAAATGTATTTTATGCACAAAATACAGATATAAATTTAAAAAAATAGGTAGATATAAAGAAAATTATATTTCAATTTGAAGTCTGAGTGAGATTGCAATTTCCGGCCAGCTAGGGGTGCCATAATCACAAATTTTCTTACCTCAACCCCAACCATGGTGGTACAGATCCTCCATCTGCGAATGTACCTCCCGGGCCTCAATATTGTAAATTCCTGAATCTGCCATTGGTGTAGGCCCACTTCAGAAATTGACAGCCCCACCCACTCACGTTTATATAGGCATACAAGTCTTCCTAATGCATGCCTAATGTAACCTTTGTTTTTCAACATCAACCATGATAAGCCTTAGTTGGAAAAAATGAGGGAATCACCATTCATGTAAGGGTGAAGGGCGGAGAATAAAAATAAATTGCGCCCCAAGTACTACTGATTTTCCCAACACAAACAAATCTACCTAAAATAGTACTTAAAAATAGAAATTCTCGGACGCGGTATCCCCCAAAGGCCAAATTTTTCCAAAGCCCCAACCTTAAGATGGCAAGGTTTTTAAAATAGTCACCTCTAGATGGCTGGAAATGTTACTCTCCTACTGGAAAAGTAATGATATGCCCCTGGGCGAGTCCGCTCCCTGGATCCGCTGTCGCCAATGGTTAGAAAACGCATCACCAACGCCCCTCACCTTATCCTTTATTCTCATCAGTCTCCCCCTCCCCAATTCAATACTCTTAGATACAGTGAGCTACACTCACAAAAAGCAAGACTGATACTAATTGGTGACAATGCTAGAATATTGGTCGTTTTTTTTTTTTTTTTTTTTTTTTTTTTTTTTTTTTTTAATAGATAATCTTTTCCTATACGGGCCTAAGTACTGAAAATCAGCCGGAAAAATGATTTATTGTTAGCAATGTCACGCGGGCCGGATCGAAATCTTTAGCGGGCTGGGGGTTGAATACCGGGAAGTGGGAGGGGTCAAGCGAAATAATATATTTTAATTATTTGAGTAATAACTCTTTAAAAATGGGGTCTTCTTTACACACCCGACGGAACAGTGGTCTCAATGTGGTCTAATGAGCAGTCCCTGAGAATTAGTAGCAACCAGTCAGAATCACAAATTAATAACACCTTTTATTCATTCCTAGAAAATTATCGGGAAGACTTCCGGTGTGGACCCGGTTTTCTTGCCCCTAATGGCGAAGTGGCAATTTGTCCATGCTCGTGTTGTTCGCCGTTTAATTATTGTGGGTTTAGTGATGCTCACTGTGCATGTAGAGATTGCGTAGATTACAGGGATCAACAATGTTCAACGACAACGGGATCACAATTTGTACCTCCAGGTAAGGCACTACGTAATGTTTTAGAAGAATAAGGTGTAGTGCGTACGGTTCCTCACTGCTGTTCTTGCATCCGTTTTGTTGTTCAGTTCACTGTACTTTTTTAGTTTACTTTATGCACACACACACACACCTGTCTCTTATACACATCTGCCATTCTTCGTAGACCCGACGACAACGGTATAGGCTGTCTCTTATACACATCTAGATGTGAGAGGCCCGTCGATATCGGGTTGTCAGACCATTAGTCAGTCTCCCTTCATACACGTTGAACGTTCTACATTTTAATGTGAAAGTGCGAAGGTAGTGTACATAACCTTCTTTCTTACACACCCACTCCGTCATTTACAAGAATACCAGGTCATAAAAAAACATGTTTAAAGCTAGATTTACTAGACACGACAACGACATATCATCGCGTAGTTTTTATTCCTCAACACTGCGCGCATCTGTATCGTGTCGTTGTCGTTTCGTAATCGTGTCTAGTGTAATTGTAGCTTAATGTCATTTTAATGTACCGTATTTCATTACAGCATCCTCTAGCAATTTAGTAGGAACTGAAGTTAGAATTGGTAATGATGATGCGACTTTGGACACTGGAACAAAATGTGGAATGTCTGTTTCTACAGAACAAGTAGAAACAAGCGCAATTGTTGATCTGTCTTGCGATGAGCCGATTTCTGGGCGATATTTGATGCTGTGGCATCCGGAACACACAAAATATTTGAGCATATGTGAGATCCGCGTATACAATGAAGATGAACCGGAGATAAGTAAGTGCAAGAAACAATTGCCGAAATTCGTTTTTCATTAACTGTACAAAAGCTCTACAGAAACTAAACAAGCAATAACTTGGTGACACGAGTAAAAAATAGTATTAACTATTGTGTTTGTGATAGAAGATCGTCTGCATGCAATTACCATTTTGGCAATACATTGTTCACATCATTGTTGCTCTAATGCTCAACAAAAACTAAATAAGCAAAGGTGACATGAGTAAAAACGATTAGATTAAATATTTTGTTTGAGTAAACATACAGCATATAAAAAGATCGTCTGCTTGCAACCAGTTACCATTTTGGTAATGCACTAGTCACCAATGACGTACACAGCTATTAGGACAGTTGGGACAGTCCCACACAATTTTCTATTGGGTCCATAATGAATGGGTCCACATTTTAAAAATGGGTCCAGATTTATCATATTTTGTGTAAAATGGGTCAAAATTTCTCATATTTTGCGTACAATGGGTGAATGTTTAAGAAAACGGTCCAGATTATTCATATTTTTGCGTAAAATGGGACAACTTTTAAGAAAATGGGTCCACATTATTTAAATTTACGCGTAAAATGGGTCCACCATGATATCGTCCCACACTGTTTAAAATACTGGCTATGGCATTGCTAGTCACCAATCGTTGTTGCTCTAAATGCTCTACAAAAACTCAAGAAGATGAGTAAAAACTTTCATTGAATGCATTTTATAATAACACTGAGGCTGAAATTGCTTAAAAAATAAGAACAAATTGAGACTGAGGTAAAATGTCAAATGAGGTTTTCGAAAAACCAAAAAAAAAAAAAAAAATATATATATATATCAGTACCTTATGTGCAGTAATGTAGGAGTGACTATGTAATACCCCTTATAATCAGGTGTACTCTCATTTGGGGCCATTTTTACCAGGTCTTTTTTCGGGGCAATTTTTCCAGGGCATTTTTCAGGGCCCATTTTTGCTGTACAATAATAATTTTCTATGTTTGAAAAGTGTGTAAAATAAGAACGAATTAAGAACATTTTGAGCCTGAAATTGGCTAAAAATAGGAACACTGAGTCTGGGCAAAATTTTACTGGTTCTTATAAAAAAAAAAGTGATAAAAAAAAGTGTATGTTGTATGAGTAAACATACAGCAGATAGGAAGACCGTCTGTTTGCAACCAATCACCATTTGGCAATGCACTAGTAACCGATAATTGTTGCTCTAAATGCCCACAAAAACTCAACAAACAAATTCGGTTACATGGCTAAAAACTAATATTGAATATTTTGTTTGTCGGAGTACACATACAGCTGATAGGAAGATCAACCATTGGGTAATGCAGTAGCCACCGATATATTTAATTATATGATTATTATATCAAATTTTACCTAATAGGTGAGTGCAGTCGCAGCCAATCATATAGCGACTACCGAGGTCTTGTGTCAATCACAGAGAATGGTAATGTGTGTCAAAAGTGGACATCACAATCACCTCATACTCACAGCTATGCGCCTTCCAACGCCGACGACAACGGTATAGGGGATCACAATCTGTGCCGAAACACAGGCAGTGGAGACCGACCATGGTGTTACACCACTGATCCAGACACTCGCTGGGAATATTGTGATGTTCCAGATGTAGGAACGTCATGCCCACTTGGTAAGTTAAGTAATAGTATACAAACATTGACTAACTCATGAGGGTAATGAAAATAGGCCTATTACCAACTTCCTAGGCCTAAGCCATCAAAGGGCTAATCTCTCTCTCTCACTCTCTCTCTCAGCGTCGTAGAAGTCGCGTCCACTTTACCCTACGTGCCAGTCATAAATTGCATAGCAACTATACTTTATAAAGAGATTACATCCGACATGTAAAAAGTACTATCATTTATCGTGATAGTACTTTTTTCCCCGGGAATTTATGAACTATCATTCAACTTCCGTCATAGGAATGATGGTTGAAGTTATGGCCCACTTTTTAACCAATCAGATGCCTAGAATCTATGTATGCAGTATTTAATTTCAGACAAAGCCGTATTTACGTCTGTTGTATCAAGAATGACAAAACATAACATATATTTCATGTAGTTTTATACATAAGATATATATTTATTGCACTAGATGTATTATTTTCAGCATGTGAAAACAGTTAACTTACACAAATTGTCTATTCATAGACCCAGAAAATTTATGATTCCTAAACACTGTGAATAACTCCTCGTCTTGTATGCATTGAACTTGTTATTAAATTTCATTTCATATCATTTCATTATTTATTATATATAAATATATGAATAACTTAGTAGACGCAGACACAATAAACATCCAATGATTTATGCCAATTTGCAAATGCAATGCTTAGGTCCTTCCTAATAAGGCCAAATAAAATAAATTGTTTGTTTGCCCTTCTTTTTAAAAAAAAAAATGATAAATAAGGGCGGGTGGAATTTATTTATTTTTTATCAGATGGAATAAAAAATAACCCACAGAGGCCTAGAATGGCAATATCCTGTCTCTTATACACATCTAGATGTGTATAAGAGACAGGTGTTTGAGCGTTCCAGTCAGTTGATTAAGAGAACGTGTCTGGAGGTTATAACTTCACGATATCCTATAGGTGGTCTCTATGATCTAATGGGTAAGATAGCCTACTCGCCTTGATAGCTCGGAGATGTTGCAGGTTCGAACCCCTCATCTAGTTTTTATACTGAACTGAAATAAAAAGGAAGTTACCGTTGGTTGATGGGCAATGCTGGATACGCTTAATTATACAACAGGTTCATATTTGAGCACTGTCACTATCATTTATAGAAATATATATATATATATATATTACTGCATTTACATGAACGTTACCCTATATGACACTAATTGATCAGTAATGTGTAAGTAACGTCAACTGAAACTTTAAAAATATATATTGATGATTTTGTTGTCGAAATTTGGCTTAATCAGACCATTCAATTGATAAGTTGCCATTGTCCATGATACTAATATTCGAAATGGCATCAAATTAATAATTGTCTTTTATCAATTTAAGCTACAGATACGAAAGTTGGTGATCTGGGTGCTGTCAAGATTGTTGAACTTAGTGGGAACAGTTTGACTTCATGGCGTGCTTCTAATGTTTTGAATACTATGAGTATGATTTCTACCAGCACATTTAGCATTGACAATATACAGCCCGTTCACTCACTCGTTTCGCTCAGCAGTTTTAATAACGAAGTAAATGCTGCAACAATAGCAATGTATATTTATCCAAATGAACATTCTTCCGGCGAAATATTGAGCATAGGTAATAGTAACGCATGTGTTAGAATTGAACAAACCTATTCAAATGACAACTTGTACCATTCAGAAGTCACGGTCTTCTACGGTGATCAACAGCTAACACGAGCCCATGTGCTTTTGCCCGAGGTTTGGACATTCTTGGCTATTACAATTGATGGCTTGAGTAAGAACATCAAACTTTGGAGAAATGGAGAGATTGCCAGTATAGGTTTTACTGATTTTCACAGATTTTTTGCCTCATCCTTCGATTATTTTAAACTTGGAAGCTCTAATGATGACTTATTTGCAAAAGTGGCCATGTTACAAGTGTACGATCATGTATTAAACGAAGCAGAAATTAAAGCAATAAGAGATATACCTTTTGCCGAAAGTAAGACCTGAATGTTTCGGTAACATTTTTGTTCTTAAATTATTCTAATATTCTCCAGACAAGTCAGTTATTGATTGATTGAATAGCTCAGTGGTTAATATGCTTGCCTTCTAATCCCACGGTCATGTGTTCAATTCCTGTTTTAACTAACAACTTCGCTCCTTAATCCGCATAAACAGACTTCGCTATCAATAGCATTATGTTGTTTTAGTTAAGAGGGACCCCGAATATCAGTTGACCTTCTAGATACGCAGCAAAAAGGAAGAGGATCACCTCCTATAAATTTATATAGGGTCCAATAATTCATTTTAAATTGGTTATCTTTTCCCCATTTATTGTATTTGTGTGCAATGTAATTGAAGCGGATACTGACCCTTGATGATAATTGTTGTAAAATTGAATAAAATAAAATTCATTTAATTTTTTTTTAAATAACTGGAACCATTTAAAACTTACTTCATATGAAAACCTCAAGTGGAATTGTATTGCTTAGTGGCTAAGATGCTTGCCCTTTTACTCTATGGTCCAGTGTTGAATTTTTGTGACAGCACGACTAAAAACAACTCCACTCCCTAAGCCTCATAAAGAGCCTTCGCTTATGAAGCTTGGTTCCGTCTGTAATTGCCAAATTACTTGATGTTACATGCGAATAAATTCAAGATAAACTTGTTATCTTATTAATTAAAATCTAAAGTAATTTGTTCACAAATCGACCGAACAAGAATAATATTTTATTAGGAAGTGGTTTCCTGATGAGAGATATCAAAATATAGGCTATGTACATTTAGGACAGCTAACATGTGAACAGAATAGTATACCTATATAAAATAATTAGAACGTAGCATGTGTATTTCTTGTTTCGTCATCTGCATTCTTTAATAGAATTAAAATATCCTTACCATACTTGTTTTGATAGCTTGGATATATGATGGATACGCCAAATTCACCAAACTGAGACCATCATCCAGACTTACGGGATTGCAACTATATGAAGGCACCGAATTGTTGACTGTCTGCTCTCGGATGTGTTTACAACGAGCGTGTTGCAAGGCGTTCAAGTTTACAAGTGGAAGTAACTCATGTATTCTAATATCGACATTCGAAATAACAGACAGTTTGTTAGAAGAATCAGATGTTGAATATTACAAGAAAGATTATCAATCATATCCAATTTTGAAACAATGCTAAAAAAAAAACTTCATAACAATCAAAACACAGTGGCAGATTATTGTCCTTTGAAACCGGTGGGTTTGAAGCACATACCTTGAATTTAAATAGTGCTATGGCGACGAGCCATTAGGCCTATACATATTATACGATTTTCAGCATTGCCTTTCTCTTTTCTTGCGAAGCCACATTTGCCGCATTTATCCACAATATTATTTAAGCACATTCAAATATATACCAATGTATGAACATAAAAAAATTGCTTTTCAAATTATTGAATCTGTAATCGATCTCAGTTTTCGTTCTTATTTTCATTTCCTTCTTAATTCAATTCACATCTTTATACTTCCTTTATAACAAAACTTGTAATTTCTTAACAATTTAATTTCAGACAAAGCCGTATTTACGTCTGTTGTATCAAGAATGACAAAACATAACATATATTTCATGTAGTTTTATACATAAGATATATATTTATTGCACTAGATGTATTATTTTCAGCATGTGAAAACAGTTAACTTACACAAATTGTCTATTCATAGACCCAGAAAATTTATGATTCCTAAACACTGTGAATAACTCCTCGTCTTGTATGCATTGAACTTGTTATTAAATTTCATTTCATATCATTTCATTATTTATTATATATAAATATATGAATAACTTAGTAGACGCAGACACAATAAACATCCAATGATTTATGCCAATTTGCAAATGCAATGCTTAGGTCCTTCCTAATAAGGCCAAATAAAATAAATTGTTTGTTTGCCCTTCTTTTTAAAAAAAAAAATGATAAATAAGGGCGGGTGGAATTTATTTATTTTTTATCAGATGGAATAAAAAATAACCCACAGAGGCCTAGAATGGCAATATCTTACATCACACAACAACTATAGACTAATTTGTAGGGCATTTGGCAAAAAATAAAGATAAATTCACTCACTTTTTGTTTTAAATTTGTAAAAAAAAAAAGAAGCTAAAAATAACCCTTTTAAAAGTTTTTTTTGTTTTTCAGTGAGTTAGGGGCAGGTGGATGGGGCAACATTTTTTTTAGCCTAAACTATCGCTGGTGTTGTAAGATATAGGAGGTAGATATATATATATATATATATATATATATATATATATATATATATACACATATATATATATATACATATATATAGCAAGGGCTTAGCAGAGGGGGTATTAAGATATTAGTCTAATCTCTTTATGAAGTCAGTAAAGTGTTCGAGGGAACACTGCATACGTCAATTACATCTCATTTGGATGCGTTAAGTATAATCCCTCATTGTCAATATGGGTTTCGTCAGGGTTGATGTTGTGAGTTATTACTTGCGAATCTGTATCATGAATGGACAGACCTATTTGACAAACGAAAGTGTAAGTTTATTGATGTGGCCCTACTTGACTTTTCAAGTCCATTCGATAAGGTAGATCATAGTATGCTTTTATTAAAAACAAATAATTATGGAATATGTGGAAAAACATTAAAATGTATTTCTTCTATTTTCGTTGGGAGATCTTATAGAGTTGTCTTCAGTGGAGCTGAGTCTTGTCTTCAGTCTATACCCAGCGGTGTTCTGGTACAGCATTGATTCCCTCTTTTCTCCGGGCATCAAAACCTGGCCCTGGCGAAGCTTTCTATGAAGCTTGGAGATATGGAGTGGAGACAGCTATAGTCGGTGGTCAAAACCCTGAGGTCTACCTACCGGCTCTTCGCCGTTCCCTTCGTGGGGAGGCCTCAAGCTTCCAATTGTTTTGGGACCAACTGCGTGACTGCGTCCCATTCTGAACTGCTCGGAAAGTTGGAGTCTCTTTTCGGGAGTGTTGAGTCGGGGGCGGTTTTATTAGAAAAAATTATTACTCCAGGCAGTAGCTAAATTAATCGGTGGAGGGTTTTGCCTGTAGGATAGAGACCGTCTACAGGAAAATTACTAACACGCAAGCTAGGCCCCTAGGTGCCGCGCTCCCAAAGTCCTTTGGAAGGGGCCCGCAAACCAATCTCTCAAAATTGGCGGGGCGACACCGTTTTGAGAGCTCAACATCCTTTGCCGAATTATTAAAGGAACTCAGAGTTCTAGAGCAAGAATTGGCCACTAGCGCGAGCTGTGCATCTCCCTCTCCAGCCTCTCCCACAACACCACCTAGCCCTACCATTAAAGAGATCCTAGGTAGGTTAGAAACTCTAGTGATTAGGAAACAGGGGGCCCCAAACCAATGTAGAGTATCCCAACCCCAACGAAATAGAGTAGGCTCCCAATCACAGGTTAATGGGGTGGGGGTCTCAATCTTATAGGCCTGTAACAATAGATCCATGGAAATAAGGTTAAATGCTATAATTGTGGACGAGATGGTCATATATCTCGTGAATGCCGTCAACGCCGTTGCAATTGAAACTATTAGGCACCTCGCCCGTTGGCTAGTCACCGAGGTGCTATCACCTAAAATTTCACCAGAAAATGCCCAAATCAATTATAAATAGGATCATAGGTAAGTCTAATGAGGGAGTGGCCTGGATAAATTGTATTAAACGTCGGTGTTTGAATGATACTGCCTCCCAGGTTACAACCATTTCTGAAATGTTTTATAAGACTTATCTATATAAATTACAAATATTCTCCATTAGAATAGAGGGAGCCACCGGGTCCCCTATCCCGTTTTTAGGTTACATCGAAGTTCCCCGAATGTGTGACAGGCAGATGGGAACCAGTACATTCCTCAGTTTTAGTTACTCCCACAACCAATTTCACCCATGATGTCCCCTTGATTGTGGGCACAAATGTAATTAACACTTGTTTCGATATGTGCACAGCAGCAATGCTTAGCGTGCGTAAATTTGGAGTCGTGGCGTCGTGCTTACAGTAACGTGCAAGTGCGCAGACAGTTCGCGGACAGCGGACTTGTTCGGACGACTAACAATCACGACACCGTACTGAAGGCTAATCACTGCATGATTATCTATGGGTAGAGCAATTTAAATAATAATGTCGGTCTTATATAGCGCTTCATGCATTACTACCCCAGTCATTGGATCAAATACGTATGGAACACATACTCAGCTCCCTGGGGAGCATTCCATAATATTGCAGCTAGTAATCAGCGCAGTTGTGTTCGAACCTACCAGGTACCCATTTGTACTCCTGGATGGAGAGAGGCAACCGTAGATAAAGTGCCTTGCCCAAAGACACAAGCGGTTTGCACAGCGAGAGTTTCGAACCCCGACCTCGAGGTAGGGAGTCCAAGCCACAACGGATGCACCAACCGCTTCCGCAATAGAGTGGTGGTGGAGCTAAGCCAAACTGAGAACATCCCCATTCGGGTCTCCAACCTCTCCACTGAGGATATTATAACATTAGTCCTCATACTCTAATTTGCAATTTAGAGACTGTTACCATAGAAGATAAAACTTAAAAACATTGTCTTTGATGTATTTACTTACTTCAAAACTGTCCACATGTCTCTAAGCTCCACCACAGTTAGGGCTGAGGTGGTAAAATTTGGAGAAATTTTACCTCTAGATTGCCGGATATGACATTCTTATATAGTAAAATTCATCATCATCGATCTAATTAATCGCTGGGATGTACCATAGAAAATACTACTTCATGTGCCGAAACCCAATCTTATCTTTGCACGCTTTTTCTCATACTTCTCAAATTATAATAAAGGCACGCGCACTCGAGTCGAGTATTACAGGTAATTCAGATGTATGTGGGCAGAGATACAGGTATCTTGCTATAAAATATGTACTCTGGCTGTACAGCGCTCTTTCATTAAAACCTGGGGCATTTATGTCAACAATTTTCAGGCATATCTTTTTGACTCAAGAAAAGTGAGGGGACCAACCCTTCCCCTTAAAAAATATGTGAGGGGACGTTTACAGGGGTGGCGCCAGCGGGGGCGCGGGGCCAGGCCCCCTCTTCGGGAAGAGCTCCCACACGCGGTCGGGGAGAGATACTACAATTCGTCGGGGAGAAAAAAAAATATTTTGTATATATTAGTAGACTTTGAAAACACTAAATTGTCAAAATTTCGAGGGCTTCGTCCTCTAGACCATTTTCGAGGCATTTAAAGCGACGTTAAACCACGCACACTTTGTTCTCGTCGGGGAAGTTTTCCTCCTCGTCGGGGACCTCGGACCCCCCGTTGGTAAAATAATATCGCCACCCCTGGATGTTTACCCTTCCCCCATGATCTGCGCCCATGGGTGGGGCTGAGGTGTTGGGGCTGAGGTGCGAAAATTTAGAGAATATGGAGCCTGGGTGCCCGGAAATTGCACTCTCATGTACCTTAAAAAATCTTACCAATAATTCATATCAACAATATAATACAATTATTTGTCTTAATACAATTTAGGGGGGTACGATCGCACCCTCTGCACCACCCTGCATCCGCCCCAGCATCCTTGTAATCTCGGATCATTTCACTAGGTACGCTCAGGTCATCCCTACTAGAAATCAAACCGGCCGGACTTCAGCTCGTATCTTATTTGAAAACTACTTCGTTCATTATGGTTTTCCAGCACGGCTACATTCTGACCAGGGTAGAAATTTTGAATCAGAAGTTATTCCGAATTGTGTAAGTTATGGAATTACCAAGTCACCTAAGACTCCTTATCACCCCAAGGCAACCTCAGTGTAAGCGTTTTAATCGCACGTTGTTAAACATGTTAGGTACCTTGACTGACGACGGTAAAGCCGGTTGGAAGTCACATGTAGCTACCTCAGTACACGCCTATAATGCCACCACTAACAGTTCTACGGGATATTCCCCATATTTCCTTATGTTGTCATCCTAGACTCCCTATTGATATTATTTTAGGTTTAGATATTTAACCTAGTGCTCTATCTACCACAATTACTAAGTACGCGAGCGATATACAAAGCCGCTTAGAAAATGCCTATAAGCGAGCGGCAGCGCAAGCAACCAAATCCACCAGCACAAACAAACACGCGTATGACAGAAAGACGCGCGATTCTGCACTTCAAATTTCTGATAGGTGGGGTCAAACGACGTACAAAGCAGTAAAGCGCGCAAGTCCCGATATACCCGTGTATGTTGTAAAGCCTGATGTTGTAAAAGGCCCTGAGCGGACTCTTCACAGAAATCACCTGTTACCGATTCCTTCTCTCCCACATGACGATAACCAGACACCCCGATCTGACGTTACCCGAACTAGCGACTTTGATGAACCGAGTACCAGTGGGTTCAGTAATCCTCCAAAGCAAACCCCTCGACCCGTTTCCTCGTCGAACACCCCTGTCCCTGCACCCTGTCGCTAAGTTAATTTACATCGTCCAATCCCTGCTCGAAGACAACCCTCTCCAAATTACCGTGTTCCGGTCCCTAGGTCCCCTGCATAAGACCCAAGTGATAATCCGCCTGCCCTAGTACAGTACTGTAAGATTTTCGTATATTATGTCTGAAAGTAGTTCGAATTCTTGTACTGATGTTAATTTGTTGTTGAAACTTTTAGAAAATGCGTTGAAAGAAGCAGAAAGAAATAAATCTCTTAGACAAATGATTATATAAACAACGCTTGCTTAAATTGCTATTGTTAAATGGTGTTTATATAAAGGGTTTTTAGAAT